CCGTGAATCCGTGAATCGTGCGGACCGATTTTTCATGGGACACAGAAACGAGAAATTGTGAGAACGTTGCCTCGCAACGCTGTCTAATCGCTATGAACGCGAATGTTAGTGCAAAATAATAATCGTCGTCGTTGATTCCAAGATGCGACTACGAAGACGTTCATCCATAGACCGCGGATTTTATGCGTTTACTGTGCGAACGAATATTTATAATTTGAAACAATAATAAGATAAAAATTATTGCTTTCGAGCTGCCAATATTATTATAGAAAGAATGAAACTTCTTTGTTACTTCTGTTTTTTGCAACAGATGCTGGAAGTATTTATTTTGCATGCAGAATTCGCAGTCTATTTATTTCGTTGCTTAATAATCTTAACGAATTGACGGTGATACAGTAATATCAAAAATTGTTAAATTATTAACAAATTTCATTAATTCAATAGTAAATTAATTGAATAATTTATTTACTTAATTAATAAATTCTTAATATCAAATTGTTTACACGTTTGTGCTATCTTCTATTCGATCAGCTCATCGCAGTAAAAAGAAACAACCATGATCGTTGATAGCATTATGTGAGTTCCAAAAATGTCAATAAGATAGGAAGAGAAATATCGTTGAAAAACATGAAAATCGAAGAATCGAATTTCATCTAGAAATCATCGTTTCCCAGACCACCGTGGCTCGGCTCGGAAGCGTTGGCGCGCAACGCTCGTGCAAGTCTCGGTAAAAAAAGCGAGGCCACGCTCGCGAACGGTTCGCCATTATAGATGCCGCGACTCCCTAAAGAGAAATCGCCGGTGTCTACTCCCTCCTCGACCGTCGAGCTCCCCCCCTCGCCATCCCCCGTCGCCGCAACCCCCGTTCGCCGGCTCGAATTATTGTACTTTTGTATGCTAACGGCGCGAGTATCCCTTAAACGTCGCCGTTATAACGGCCGGGGGGAGGCCAATTACGGTAATTAGCCGCCATAAACGAGTAGTGTCTGAGAAAGCACCTCGTGGCTGGGCCCCTTCGAGCGAACAATACGTTGTTGCTGCGCCGCGGTTCCCCGATAAATATAAGACAGACCGCGTCTCCGTGGACATCCGACGCTCGGGATATCCTCCATTGTTCCCAATTAGAGAGCTTTAACTAACGTGCACGGCTCGGACTTCGCTGCGCGCAATATTTCCATCTCGGTTTGGCTCGACGGTGGCTCCCGTGTAAATTGGAACGTGTTCGCCGCGCTCGAGCGTCGCCGCTGTGTGTTCTCTTTCTTCCGCGGTCTCTCTGCCGACCTTTGATTTCGTTAGAACCCTACCGGTGAGATCCCGACGGGATTTTTAGTTCATTGTATTAATTCGATATGTATTTTGGTTGATTTTTATTCGGTTCGGGGGACGAAGTTTTTTCGTTAAGAGTATAATAGAGATTAATATTGCTAATTCTA